ACAGATGAAACCAAAGTTGAGTTGTTTGGAAGAAGAACACAACACTATGTGTGGCGAAAAAAAGGCACAGCACACCAACATCAAAACCTCATCCCAACTGTGTAGTATGGTGGTGGGGGCATCATGGTTTGGGGCTGCTTTGCTGCGTCAGGGCCTGGACGGATTGCTATCATTGAAGGAAAAATGAATTCCCAAGTTTATCAAGACATTTTGCAGGAGAACTTAAGGCCATCTGTCTACCAGCTGAAGCTCAACAGAAGATGGGTGTTGCAACAGGACAATGACCCAAGGCATAGAAGTAAATCAACAACAGAATGGCTTAAACAGAAGAAAATACGCCTTCTGAAGTGGCCCAGTCAGAGTCCTGACCTCAACCCGATTGAGATGCTGTAGCATGACCTCAAGAAAGCGATTCACACCAGACATCCCAAGAATATTGCTGAACTGAAACAGTTCTGTAAAGAGGAATGGTCAAGAATTACTCCTGACCGTTACGCCTGATCTGCAACTACAGGAAACTTTACTTTTCTACCTGCACTGTGAATGTTTACATGGTGTGTTCAATAAAAACATGGCAACATTTCATTCTTTGTGTGTTATTAGTTTAAGCAGACTGTGATTGTCTATTGTTGTGACTTAGATGATGATCAGATCACATTTTATGACCAATTTGTGCAGAAATCCATATCATTCCAAAGGGTTCACATACTTTTTCTTGCAACTGTATATATATATATATATATAATGTAATGGAACCATGCGATCAAAACAATGGTGTGGTCTCTTGTTCTTAAATGAAAAATTAATAACCCTATAAGTTCAAAGTCTATTTTATTTTTTATGTTAAATGTATAAGATCCAACACAAATATGTTATGCACACAGTTGGTTTCAGAAAGAGAGAAGAAAGACTGAAAGCTGATGTAAGAAGAGTTACATAGCTGAAAAGAGACTTGCGTCCATCAAGTTCAGCCTTCCTCACATATGTTTTTGCTGTTGATCCAATAGAAAGGCAAAAAAAATCTAGTCTGAACTGCTTCCAATTTTGTAACAAACTAGGAACAAATTCCTTCTTGACCCTAAAATGGCAGTCAGATATCTCATTGGATCAAGCAGCTATTACCTCACCAATTAGAAATTATATCCCTATATGTTATGTTTTTGCAAGTATTTATCCAATTGCAGTTTAAACATCTGTATAGACTCTAATAAAACAACCTCTTCAGGCAGAGAATTCCATATCCTTATTGCTCTTACTGTAAAAAAACCTTTTCTTTGCCTTAGATGAAATCTCCTTTCTTCCAGCCTAAATGTGTGACCTTGTGTCTTATGTATAGCCCTGTTTATGAATAGATTTCCAGATAATGGTTTGTACTGGCCCCGAATATATTTGTATAATGTTATCATATCCCCTCTGAGGCTCTGTTTTTCCAAACTAAAGAGCCTTACATTTTCTAACCTTTCTTCGTAACTAAAATGCTCCATTCATTTTATCAATTTTGTAGCTCGTCTCTGAACTTTTCTAGTGCCATGATATCCTTCTTTAGAACAGGTGCCCAAAATTGCACAGCATATTCAAGGTGTGATCTTAGCAGCGATTTATAAAGAGGCAAAATTATATTTTCATCCCGAGAATTTATGCCCCTGTTTATACATGACAAAACCTTACTGGCCTGGAACTACAGATTGACATTGCACATTGCTGCCTAACTTGTTGTCTATAACAATTCCCAAATCCTTCTTATGTGTTGTTATCCCTAATTCAGTACCATTTAGAGTGTAAGTTGCTTGTGCATTCTTGACTTTGCATTTCTCTACATTAAATTTCATCTGCCATTTTAGTGCCCAGTCCCCCAATCTATCTAAATCCCTCTGCAGCAAAGCAATATCCTGCTCACATTTTATTACTTTACAAAGTTTTGTGTCATCTGCAAACACTGAAACATGGCTTTCAATGTCTATTTCAAGATCATTTATAAATAGAAGCGGTCCCAAAACAGAACCCTGAGGGACACCACTTACCACTATTGTGCAGCCTGAAAATTTACCATTAATGACAACTCGTTGTACTCTATCCTTAAGCCACTGTTCTACCCAAGAACAAGAATATTCATCTAGACCAATTTCTTTTAGTTTGAAGACTAACCTATTGTGAGTTGGGATGCCTTAGGCATTGTAGAGGTCAAAAGCATTAGCCATAGCATGAAACCTGATTTTCTTCCACCTTTCCAGGATGTGAAAATCTAGGGAGAGAAGTAAATTGTTCCTGTAAATCAAGTTTATAGATAAGTTACATATGTCACAGTTGGCGAGGACACTAATTTACTAAATCAGGAATTCAAAATGACTTTAAAGTTAGAGTTGCACTCTTAAAAAAGGCACATTTCAGCGCCAAAACGCGCATTGAGTGGACACCACTTGTGTGTGTGTTTTTTTAGTAGAGGAAGCTATTTAGCCAAGATTATGTGCCTACCTACCACGTAGGGAACTCTCTTTACTTAGTTACTAGCAGGGCTGTCTTGAAGCAGCACGGTGTTAGGGATCTTGAATAGGATTTTTAGGTGGTCTCTTAGATTGTGGTGCAGTAGATTTAGCCTACTTCGATTTTTTTACATATCTGCTATTTTCTTTAACCTTCAGTGGACCTCTCATTATTGATTATATTAGGGGCATTTTGCTGATTATTGCTTACAACATTTTTAATGGTATCTCAATAGGGATAACTTTTAACCGCTTGCACACCATTTAAGGTGTAACTCCTTTTTAGGCATCACACTGACTTGGAATTTGCTGCAGAGGTTTTCTGTTCCAGATGCCCTGTATAATATAAAATCTTGAAATTTTATCGTGACTTCTAAATATTTTGGAATGACTAGATCCTTTAAATAAAGTTACCATCTTTTGATACTTTTGGGGGCATCTCTTACATGTTAGTACTCCAGTTAAAGTGTGGTCCTTCTAAGTGCCACGTTACTACAGAATATCTTTACCACAGGTATCTCTATTTATTATGACTTCTAAAATTTAGGCCACCTTGGTAAGCATATTGCACAAATTTACAAGCCAGTCTTAGAGATCATTTCCATGAAGGAATTACAATTATTCTTTGGATCCCCATTGACTGTATAAACTATTATTACAATTGCTACTCTAAGCATTTTAGCTACACGATTACCTACATCTGTAGGGACTTAAAGGGACACTCCAGGCACCCAGGCCACTTATGCCCATTTGAGTGGTCTGGGTGCCAACTCCCACCCTTAACCCTGCAAGTGCAATTATTGCAGTTTTCATAAACTGCAATAATTACCTTGCAGGGTTAAGTCCTTCTCTGATAGACAGCCACTAGAGAGACTTCCATGTTCTTAGAACATGAAAAGTGTGTTATACAATGCTGGACGTCCTCAGGCTATGTGAGGACCTCCAGCATTGCCAAAATCCCCATAAGAAAGCATTGAATAATGCTTTCCTATGGGGAGATCTAATGACGACGGCAGGGGAGGAGAGTAGGCGGAGCCAGACCCAGTGCCGAGGGACATTTGTGCCAGACTCCGTTAAGTCACTGAAGGGGTTTTAACCTCTTCAGCAACTTGGGATGGCGGGTGGGAGGGAGAGAGCCCTGTAGGGTCCCGCAGTGCCAGGAAAACTAATATGTTTTCCTGGCACTGGAGAGTCCCTTTAAGTAGATACAATTTATATATATTCTGCGGTGACAATCAGCTAGATACTGGTAAAACATAAGATTTACAATCATATCTATTTAAAACGACACTATAGTCACCAGAACAACTACAGCTTATTTTATTTGTTCTGGTGAGTAGAATCATTCCTTCAGGCTTTTTGTTGTAAACACTGTCTTTTCAGAGAAAATGCAGTGTTTACATTATAGCCTAGTGATAACTCCACTGTCCACTCCTTAGCTGGCTGCTAGTGGTGCTTCCTGGGGCAGAGCTGCCTAGTGCGCAGCACTGCCCTTCAATGTCTCCACCCTCTGCATGCAGACACTGAACATTCCTCGTAGGGATGCATTGATTCAATTCATCTCTATGGGGAGATGCTGATTGACCAGGGCTGTGTTAGACTTGTGCTGGCTCTGCCTCCTTGACAATCTCAGCCAATCCTATGGGGAAGCATTGTGATTGGCTCAGACCACCACTTCTGATGGTGTCAGGAGACAGAGGCAGTTCAGATTCAGACAGGTACATAGGCAGCAGCTGCAGACTTGAATACAAGTAAGATTTTACTATATTTAGGGAGGCAAGTTGGGGCGAGGGGGGCTACATGGTGGTTTTGTAACATATTCATCCTCACCTTGCAGTATCAGCGCTCAGCGGCCATGCGTCAGTGTACCTGATTCCTGCAACATGTTGGTGGATGCCGGCCACTGCGGATCCACGCCAAATTATAGCCCCACGTCTGCCCACGGTGATGACGATGTTGGCGTGCATGTGATGTCACGCGGGAGACGTGCTCGCACTTTCTGGGGTCAAAAGCAGATTTTGGCCAATCAGATTTGTAAAAGGCTTATTTAAACGCGTTTTTACTTCTCCTCATTGCCCTGTCATGGTTTCACTTAGTGGTTGTCCGATAGTGTGTTCCTGAGCGTTTATTTCTGGTTATTGACTTTGGCTTCTTTTGATTTCCCTGTATTCTGGTATCCCTGACTTTTGGCTTTCCCTCATCGTTGTGTCTCATTCTGTGTCCCCGACCTCGGCAAGTATTCTGACTATTTTCTGGTACGTTAAGTCCGGCCATTCTAAGGCCCGGTAAGACGTTACCCTTTAGTCCTAGGTGTGACACAGTTCTACGTGCTGGATCAACTAGTAATCCTGACAGGTTTTAACATAGGGTCAGGAATACATGTTTGTGTTCCTGATCCTATAGTGTTGCTTTAATGTGATCCATACAAGGAATCTGAGACTGAGTGAGTCTTATGTATTTTCCCCCTTTTATTATTATGCATAGCAACTATTACATTATTATTAGATTATTATTACATTATTATTATTAAATGCATAGCAACTATTACACTGAACTAAGTCTGCCATTCCTCATTGGAATGGCAGACTTAGTTCAGTGTAATAGTTGCTATGCATTTGTTTCACGTTCCACTTTTTGGAAGTTTGGTTGTTGTCTAATCTGTAGACAGTTCTCTATCTTGCAGCAGGAGATTGTATTTTTGAAGTCTGAGATTTGTAAATTATCTGGTGAACAAACTCAGACTGGAACTGCTGCAAAGCCACTGCCGCAGAGACATACTAGGAATAGCAGATGGATTACTGTATGATCTGGTAGACTTAGAGTTGTGGATAAAAGGCATTTTGCACAGTCTGTTGCTCTACATAATTAATTTTCTGCACTTTCAGAGTGTAATGGTGTTGTGGAGAGAGGCACTGAGGCTAGTGGTGTTGTGGAAAGAGGCACTGAGGCTAGTGGTTTTGTGGAGAGAGGCACTGAGGCTAGTGGTTTTGTGGAGAGAGGCACGAAGGCTAGTGGTGTTGTGGAGAGAGGCACTGAGGCTAGCGGTATTGTGGAGACCGGCTTGGAGACTATGGTGAGGCCTAATAGAAAGCAGTTGTTGTTGGGGGATTCCATCATAAGAGGTGTGGAGATAGACAATGGTGGTCTTGTGAGGTGTCTTCCCGGAGCTACTGCTCACAGAGACAGGAGACGTATCTGTAATATTGTTAAGCAAGCAAAGCAGGAAGGGGAATTGGATGTCCTTGTCCATCTAGGGACAAATGACTTGGCTTGCAATGAGGTTTCAGAGGTTAAGGAAGTTTTTAGTGTTTTTGCCAATGATATACGGCAGGTTGCTTCCACACTGTCATTCTCTAAAGTTCTGCCTGTGCATAACACTCAGAACGACAGGCGGATGCGTATTAGGGACTTTAATTTGTGGCTTAGTGAATGGTGTCAGGAGCAAGGATTTGGCTTTATTTCTCATGGTAGCTCTGTTTGGAATGGAAATAAGCTGTACAAAAAAGATGGTTTGCATCTTTCTCAAAAGGGAACAAATGTTCTCAGTGAGCAGTTCAGAGGTTTTGCTAGGATGTATTTAAACTAGGAGGGGGGGGGCAAAAGGGTGATAAAACATCAATCCAATTGTTCCCCAAAACAAGGACAGAAGGTGCCTGTAGCAAGTGTGTTAAAAAATGATAAGCTTAGAGTCATGTCTACAAATGCTCGCAGTTTAGGGAATAAGATCCATGAACTTGTGGCAATAATGGCAACTGATAGTGTAGATTTAGTCGCTATTACTGAGACATGGTATAATGAGAAAAATGACTGGGACATTGCAATACCAGGATACTCTTTATATAGAAAAGATAGGGAAGGCAAGAAAGGGGAAGGGGTGGTCCTGTATGTGAAGGATAGCATAAAATCTAGCCTAATAAAAGTTAGTGAGGCGAACATAGAGTCCATTTGGGTTACGTTAGAATTTGGTAATCATACAGTAACTCGTGTAGGTGTGATTTATAGGCCCCCAGGACAAATTGAAGAATTAGATAATCTACTAGTTGAGGAAATAGCTAAAATGACAATGAAGGGGGAAGTTATCATCATGGATGACTTTAATCTTCCTGATGTAAATTGGAAAACAAAAATAGCTGCTTGTGCCAGGAGCACACATATTCTAAACTCCCTACAGGGATTGTCTCTAAAACAAGTCGTTGAGGAGCCAACTCGTAAAGAGGCCATACTAGATTTAGTGTTAACAAATGGAGATTTGGTATCAGATATTACTGTAGGTGAAAGTTTAGGATCCAGTGATCATCAGTCTGTGTGGTTTAATATAAGAACAGTGACTGAGTCACACCACACAAAAACAATGGTTTTATACTTTAGAAAAACAGATTTTTCTAAAATTAGAATATGTGTAAAGGAGTCATTATCAGACTGAAGCAATTTAAATGGAGTCCAAGAGAAATGGGATTATTTCAAAGTTGCACTACTGAAGGCAACAGAAAAATTGCATTAGGCTTGTCAGTAAAAGCAAAAAACGAAAAAAGAAACCACCGTGGTACTCCGCAGATGTGGCCAAAATAGTTAAAAACAAAAAGTTAGCATTTAGTAATTATAAAAAAAAAACAGAGTGAGGAAGACATAATGATCTATAAGATTAGGCAGAAAGAGGCTAAGCAAGTTATAAGAGCTTCCAAATCACACACAGTCAGTAAAAAAGGGGGACAACACTTTTTTTAGATACATAAATGAGAAAAGAAAAGTAAAACAAGGATTAGTTTGATTAAAAACAAAAGAAGGAAGGTATATAGAAGAGGATAAAGGTCTAGCTGACTGCCTCAATGAATATTTTTGTTCTGTATTTACAGATGAAAATGAAGGAAAGGGGCCTCAGTTAAGAGAAAAGATAAATGGAGTCATTTATTACACGTGAGTTTACAGAGGAAGAGGTTCTATTTCAACTGTCAAAAGTAAAGACAAATAAGTCAATGGGACCTGATGGAATACACCCAAAGCTATTAAAAGAGCTTAGTGGTGTACTAGCAAAACCATTAACATATGTATTTAACCAATCATTGTTAACAGGAGTAGTCCCAGAAGATTGGAAGTTAGCGAATGTTGTGCCCATTCACAAGAAAGGTAATAGGGAGGAGTCGGGCAACTATAGGCCAGTAAGCCTTACTTCAGTAGTGGGGAAAGTGATGGAAACCATGTTAAAGGATAGGATTGCTGAACATCTAAAAACACATGGATTTCAAGATCAGAGACAACATGGGTTTACTTCAGGGAGATCATGCCAAACTAATCTTATTGATTTTTTTGATTGGGTAACTAAAATTATAGATCAGGGTGGTGCAGTAGACATTGCTTACCTAGATTTCAGTAAGGCTTTTGACACTGCTGCACATAGAAGGCTTATCAATAAACTGCAATCTTTAAGTTTGGATTCCAATATTGTTGAATGGGTAAGGCAGTGGCTGAGTGACAGGCAACAGAGGGTTGTAGTTAATGGAATATATTCAAAGCTTGGACTTGTCACCAGTGGGGTACCTCAGGGATATGTACTTGGACCCATTCTCTTTAATATTTTTATAAGTGATATTGCAGAAGGTCTTGATGGTAAGTTATGTCTTTTTGCTGATGATACTAAGATATGTAACAGGGTTGATGTTCCAGGAGGGATAAGCCAAATGATTTAGGCAAACTAGAACAATGGTCAGAATTGTGGCAACTGACATTTAATGTGGATAAGTGCAAGATAATGCATCTTGGACTTAAAAACCCTAGGGCAGAGTACAGAATATTTGATAGAGTCCTAACCTCAACATATGAGGAAATGGATTATTTCTGATGACTTAAAGGTAGGCAGACAATGTAATAGAGCAGCAGGAAATGCTAGCAGAATGCTTGGTTGTATAGGGAGAGGTATTAGCAGTAGAAAGAGGGAAGTGCTCATGCCATTGTACAGAACACTGGTGAGACCTCACTTGGAGTATTGTACACTGTACTGGAGACCGTATCTTCAGAAGGATATTGATACCTTAGAGAGGGTTCAGAGAAGGGCTACTAAACTGGTTCATGGATTGCGGGATAAAACTTACCGGGAAAGGCAAAAGGATCTTAACATGTATAGCTTGGAGGAAAGACGAGACAGGGGGGATATGATAGAAACATTTAAATACATAAAGGGAATCAACACAGTAAAGGAGGAGACTATATTTAAAAGAAGAAAAGCTACCACAACATGAGGACAGTCTTAAATTAGAGGGACAAAGGTTTAAAAATAATATCAGGAAGTATTACTTTACTGAGAGGGTAGTGGGTGCATGGAATAGCCTTCCAGCTGAAGTGGTAGAGGTTAACACAGTAAAGGAGTTTAAGCATGCGTGGGATAGGCATGCGTCCCCCCCATCCCCCTGGTTCCACGCCCATGTTCAATACATTCATATGGGCAGGAAAATCTCCCAGACTCTAATATGACTGTCTAACTAAGAGTAAACAGAAGGGAGGTCTTGGACTCCCCGACCTAGTGGCCTACCATAAAGCCATTAGCCTCACGAGAATATACGATTGGGCGCATCCCCATAATAACACCCAATGGGGATCGAAGCCAACTTCTTTAAGACCTCACTCCACAACGTTCCTTGGCTAGGACGGGGGACGGATCTAATAACACGCAACGCTACATTACACCCGACGATAACACACACCCTTCAGACCTGGCATAAACTCAGGAAAGAAAAACATATAGCCCCTCACCCATCACCATTATATCCACTAATGGAGAATCCCTCCTTTCTCCCTGGCTCACACCCAACAGCCTTCCAAAGCTTCCCTAAACAGACCCACGCACTCTCCTTAGGCGACGTTCTCAACGACAAGGGAATAGCCCCCCTAGATGACCTAATTCCTAACGCTGAACCTGCTGGTATGGCCAGACTTAGACACTCACAGATTAAACACTTCATAAAATCAGACCAAACACTCCTCCAAGGCCATAGAAACCTCACATTATTTGAAACGCAATGTACACACCACACATTACATAGGGGACTAATCTCATAGTTCTATAAAACGATCCGCCAACAACAGGAGAAGACCCTACCAAACTACACGATACAGTGGGACAAGGAGTTGAACACACAGATTCAAACAAAAGATTGGCAAAAAAATTTCAAAAACATCTTCCACACATCTAGGAGCACCCACGAAGGCAACTATAAAAGGATAGCTAGGTGGCACTATACCCCCACCCGCATCAATAGGATCTTCCCTAATTCGCCCAACACATGCTGGAGGTGCAAACAAGTAGCAGGAACCACAAGCCACATTTGGTGGCTATGCCCTGTGATCCAAGATTACTGGGGGCAGATTGCCAACCTTATAGGTACTATAACAGGCATCAATCTTCCCAAGAAACCCGAAACCATGCTGTTCCTACTTTATCACCAACCTCTAGACAAACACCAGCGTATCCTCTGCAACCACCTCCTAACAGCAGCGAACGCTTTCATTCCTACAATGTGGAAACAATCCTCAGCCCCAACCATTAGAGCCTGCATAGCCAGGGTAGATTGCATTAGAACAATGGAAGAACTATCCTACTCTTTTACTCTTAAATATGACGAATATCACACTACCTGGTCTCCTTGGTTCCAATTCCTCCAGGGGAACCATGGATAATAGCCGGATACCGACTCCGAAAACCAGTGTAAAAACCCTCCCAAATACGCACAGCACCAACCTTCCACCATGTTGGGCCTGATAACCTTTTAAAACTAATGTATGTAAAAAGCGTACCAACTACTGTTTGCATTTTCACATTAATGTTATACCACTGATGCAATGTTTTACTATCTTCAAAATGCACTATTTTGTTGTATTGCATTTTATCACTCAATAAAACTTAAAAAAAAAATACTATACATGTTTTAATTCTAATACTAAGAAGAATAAAATTACTAGCGGAAGTAACTTTTTGAGACTTGGTCTCAAGATTACTTAGTATTAATAAATTCTTCCCCTACTTGCTATACTGCGAGTAGGGGCATGTCTAGTAAACAGTGAGCAGCCTAAAAAATCTAAGTGTCCCCCCTCCGGAGCCCCCACCCCTGCCCTGAGTGGCGAGTGGGGGCCCTAAAGTAGAATAAGGGGGGCCTATTGTCCTCCAACCCCAGCCCCCACCCCTAAGAGGTGGTTGGGGGACCTATTGTCCTCCCCCAAGCCCCCACCCCTGAGCAGCGGGTGGGGGCCCTAAATCAGAATAAGGGGGGACCTATTGTCCTCCCCACCATCCCCCACCCCTGAGTGGGGGCTTGGTCCCTAAAGTAGAATAAGGGGGGGGGAACCTATTGTCCTACCCCCGACCCCCACCCCTGAGCGGTGGGTGGGGGCCCTAGATCAGAATAAGGGGGGGACCTATTGTCCTCCCCCTGGCCTTCACCCCTGAGCGGCAGGTGGGGGCACTAAAGAAGAATAAGGGAGGGGGACCTATAGTCCTCCCCCCCGGCTCTCACACCTGAGCGGCGGGTAGGGACCCTAAATCAGAACAGGGGGGACCCAGGTGACTAGGGGTCCCCAAACTCTTAGTCACCCTCCCTCCCCAAAAAATAAAAATAAAATAAAAAATAAACCCCTACCTACTCCCATTACCCTAAAAATAGTGAGGGGGGGACAATAACTGAGTATAACCTATAAAAAAAGAAATAAAACTTAACATTTGAGGTCTTTTTTCTAAAATAAAAAACCATAATAGGGGTACTGTTATATTCGGGAGACTTCGCTGAACACAAATATTAGTGTTGCAAAACAGTAAAACGTATCACAACAATTATATTGTCCGTGTAAGTGCCATTTGTGTGTGTAAAATGCAAAAAATTTCACTTTCACTGATGATATCATCGTTGTAAAACATTTTACTGTTTTGAAACACTAATATTTGTGTTCAGCGAAGTCTACCGAGTAAAACAGTACCCCTCATGTGCAGGTTTTATGGTGTTTTCAAAAGTTACATAGTCATATATAAGGCTTGCGTTTCAGTTTTTTCACATTGAAATTCACCAGGTTGCTTATGTTGCCTTTGAGACCGTATGATAGCCCAGGAATGAAAATTACCCAATGTACAGGTTTTATGGTGTCTTGGAAAGTTACAGGGTTAAATATAGTGGTAGCAAATTAAATTCCCTGGACTTTTAGCCTGGGTTGTCAGGCAGGTCCTGCAAATTGTAATTAATAAAATTATTACATAAATATATACGTAGAATTATTATATATATACGTGTATATATATATATATATTTGTGTTAGGTGCTTAAGATAGTACAGTGTGAAATACCATGAATAAGCGTAGGATGATAAAAGGAGCAAGTCGGTTGTGGTGTGCCGAAACCGACGATGAGGTAGGCCTGAGAAAGAAGAGGGCCCACCCAGGAAAAGAAATAGAAAGGAAAATAAATGTTAAAAGTGGTGTGGTGGGAGGGTCATTCAACGCTGACCTCGAACGGTAAGGAGCCAGGCAAGGGGAGTGCCTTAAGTAGGCTAGGGGTAGAAAACCAGCACCTCCCACAAATGCAGGCAAATTGCCTTAATACTTGTGTTAGGTGCTTAAGATAGTACAGTGTGAAATACCATGAATAAGCGTAGGATGATAAAAGGAGCAAGTCGGTTGTGGTGTGCCGAAACCGACGATGAGGTAGGCCTGAGAAAGAAGAGGGCAAAAATTAAGTAATCCAATTTATTAACAGACCACCAATACATATACATTTATCAACCAGACATGTTTATGAAAGCATCTCTTAACTCTTGTACTGGGTTCGGTATGTACCGTGAGTAAGCGGATGACTTCCAGCGCCCCAGTGTTTTGATAACATGAGTTGGGACGTTGAAACTGGAGGCTGTGGACGCGGCTCCTATACGAAAGGAGTGTCCTGAGTAATTGTTTGCGTTGAGACCCAGTTGTGTGAGCAAGGACCTGATGTAGGTCATGAAGGTTGTAGTGGTGAGTACTGCACCTTGTAGTTGTAATAACGGTTGCGAGGGCAGTAAGTGATGGTGCTGTATGTAGGCATCAAGAACTTTTACGGGACACCATCTGTTGTGCGTGGGGTAGTACGGAATGTTTACAGGTATGTGCTGGCTGGTTTTGGAGTGAGGTAAAGACAGGATGTAATGATCCATATGTTTTGTCAAGTGGGAATAGAGGAGGAATGGAGTGGTTTGGGTCGTGGAGGTCGTAGTGAATTCTCTGGGTCGTAGAAATCCATAGAAAGCGATGTATATTGCTGTTTTGATGATAGAATTCGTATTAGTGTCAAACGGTTTCAGGTCGAGTAGGTTAGATAAAGCTTTGAAGATATGGTTATCTATGGGTAGCCTCTGGGCCAAATGTGTGGGTTCTGATTTTTGAATACCTCTGAGTATGGTCTTAATTTGGTGAGAGGCCATGAAACTGTTGTTATTTGGGTGTAAGATGAGCATGTGGTGTTGAATGCCAGTGAGATAGAGTTTGATGGTGTTATATGACAATTTGAGTTTAAGGTGGCAAAAGGAAGCAAACCCCAAAAAAGATGTCATAACAAACGGTTGTATGATGTTATGTTCCAGAAGGAATCGTTTGAATAGTGTGAAAGCCCTGTTGTATGTTTTGTTTGTATTGTGTGAAAGTGCCAACTGAGACAATGTCCTGCTATGCTGCATGATGACGTCTAGTCCAGTATGAGTTGTTGAAATGTTGGAGTGATGGTGGCTGTGGGTGCTGCTGACGGGAGTGCTTGATGAAACTCCTGAAATTTAAAGCGAGACAAACTGTCAGCAGCTGTGTTGTATACACCTGGCACATGGAAACAACATAGGAAGAAATTATGACAAGCTGCCAACCAAGTGAGTTTCCTCAGAAATCTCATAATCGTAAGAGATTTGGAACGACCTTTGTTGATGATGTGACAGGTCGCCTGGTTGTCTGAGTAACAACGCACTGGCGTATTAGCCCATAAATGACCCCACGCTAAGGCAGCCACCACTATGGGGTAGATCTCAAAAAGAGCTGAGGTAGTGGAAAAACCTTTAAAAATCCAGAACTGCTGAAGGCCAGCTGCCCCAAAGCCATTCGTTCCCAAAAATTGCTGCAAAACCAGTGGTAGATGCCGCATCTGACCAAATGGTAGGAGATGATTCAGTCAATTGAGGGAGGAACCATTCCAAGTGGTTAAAAACCTCTTCCACATGTTTAGATCTGCCGTAGCTTGGGCATCTAAGGACAACCTGCGCGTGTCATGTAGAAAAAGTGGGAAAAGATGCAATAGTCGTGAAATAAAGGAGCGGCCTTGAGGTATGATGCGCATTGCAAAATTTAGTGACCCCAGCAGGGACTGTAGTTCTTTGCGGTTGCAAGTGCCGAGCTGTAGGTAGTTGTTTATGTAAGTGAGAATATTGTCTATCTTTTCGTAAGGTAGGCTTGCTTGCATTGTGGCAGAGTCTAACTGGATACCCAGAAAAGTGATAACCGTGTCTGGCCCTTCTGTTTTCTTTGGGGAGATGGGTACACCTAGTTGCTCAAACAGCTTAGTGGTAGCTTTGAGGCTAGTGGGAGGTGCAGTATTCTCCTCGACCAGTAGGAAATCGTCCAAGTAATGTAATACTGTAGGGCATCCGGCTATGTTCAATAGTAACCAGCATAGTGCTTCGGCAAATGTGTCGAAAATAGCTGGGCTACTTTTGGACCCAAAAGTTAACCGGGAGAAAAAATAGTAGTTCTCGGACCACTTGATGCCATGCAGGTGCCACAGTGTGGGGTGGATAGGGAGTAATTTGAAGGCGTTAGTAATGTCGGTCTTACTGAGCCAGGCTCCCACCCCTGCTTGTATGATGGCTGTAATGGCGTGATCTATGGTGGTGTATTGCAGAGAGAATTCCTCAGAGGGTATGAGGGAATTAAGACTGGGGTTGGCCGATGAGTGGGGAGCCGATAAGTCAATGATGAGTCTCTGTTTTTGGGAAGATTTCCCTGTGACAATACCAATAGGGTTGGTGCGCCATTCTGTGAATGGGGAGTTCTAAAAGGCCCCAATACAAAGCCCTCCTCCACTTCTTGGTTTATGAGGGTGTCAACCACTGTGGGGTTGTGTTGGGCGGATTGTAGGTTTGGGCATTCCAGAGTGCCAGCTGGTATGTGTAGGATACCTGTGTGGAAGCCTTCTGTTAAACCAGAAATAAGAAAATCTACCAGGTGTCTAGATGGGTGCTGAGACATCAATGCTGTGAATACTGGCATATTAATGGACGTAAGGTAAGGCTTAGAATACATTTTATTTGGACACATGGTCTTAGCATGTGCCCTAAAACATTTTGAACAGACATGCAATAGTCTACATCCACTGTAATTACAAGACCCAACATTGAAATTATTACATATCTGGGACTTGCCCAGAAACTTGATTGGGCGTCCCAATTTGTCTTTGGATAGTTTCCCTGGATCCCCAGAGGAACTAGTTCCTTGTGTGGAGGCATGTCCGTCTGCCGTGTTGGGACAAAAATTAGTAGTATGGGCTGTGGAGGAGCAGTATGCACAAGCTGGTGTTCTTAGACCTGCAAAGTGTCTGCAGAATAAGACGGTATCAATCCTTCCCCAGTTGGATCGTGTACCGTACTGGGAGAAGGCTCCAGCCACTTTTGCAGAAAAAGACCTATGGTAGTCATAGAATGCTGAACCACCATATTTGTTGCCCAGGTCTACCAGCTTGTGCATATAGAGATCAAACTCCTCTCTTCTGTTGGGATAAACCGCACAGACGACATCCCTGTAAATACCAAACGCTAGTACAAATTCAGGGATAGTCAGTTTCCTGTTCAGGCGGGCATCCCTAGATCTGACAATAACAGAAACATCATCATAAGCATACGTCTTATGTTCCACAATGTCCTGGGAGGCAATCAACAGGGAAGCCAGGTTGACGTCTTTACCTTCCAGGATATCCCTTTTGATATGCTCAGGTATCATGTGGGCCGGGCTAACTTCCTGGTCATCCAGGGGGCTGGCTGGAGCGACTAATGGCAAGGCTGGTGTTTGTACCGCAGCCGCGGGTGGCCCTGCTAGAGTGAGGGCCGTGGTGACCGACTCAAGTTTCTCCAGCCTGGAGTTGACCTTGCCCATGGATGCCATGAGTGAGGATAACATGGCCTGTATGTCCCCTGGGTTGGACTGGCTAGATCCTTCCCCGGCTTCCATGTTATTGGTTGATGTGCGTAGCAGTTTGAAAAGTTCTGCCTTCCTTGCTGTAGCGGGGTAGGGGATTTGTCGTCTCCTTAATTCCGTGGTTATGCGCGGGATTGTCCAGGATCTAATTGATGCTGGACTAGCTAGCTCTCCTCCTTGTGTGGGAGTGACAGCTCTAGCCGGGGTGCTAGGCAGGGAGAAATCCTCTACCCCTTCCTGAGACATACTATAAATAAAACAATAATTAGTATATAGAACCACCAAATTGTACTGGCAGGCTAGCTAGGCCGGATGGCGAAAGTATTATGCTTGTTTGGTGACAGGTGAGGCCCTACTAATTGCCAAGCGGCTTGAGAGGCTCTATCTATGCGTTGGCGCGAGGGGTTATTGAGGCCACTTGACGTAGTGGCAGGAGTTTTAGGCCTCTCGGTGACTGTACGACAGAAAACAGGGGAAGGGAGTGACAGGTGAGGCCCTCTCTTTGCAACATGCGAGGCGGCTAGCTAACATGTGGCCCGATGGATGTTTGCCTCTGAAACATTTGAGGCGGGGTGTTGGCCTCGCGGGACCACTAACTAATGGCGACAGCCAAGATGGGGTAAATACCTATTGGGAATCCTGTGACCCTATTGCCAGTACTCTAAACTAGGGGGATGAAATGAAATGTATGGTAGAATACCATATGAGCAGGTGTACGTACCTGGTAGTATGATAAATCACAGGAATAAACCGTGTGGAGCAATTATATAAGCTCGACAGCCTAAAAATGGGTAAAAGAGAGTAGTACGATGAGTGTGGGGTGTAAAAAGAACCAGACTTATAGTCTGTAGCAGCAATGTATAAAATTATGTTGATACCATGGGAATAGCTATGAGTGGCTCAGAAATGTTTGCATGCTTGAATAAGACATCTGAGGGAGGCCGTGGCCTATGTACAAACAATCTATGTGTTACGTGATAATGGTGTGTAAAGGAAAACATGAAACGTAGGTTATATACATATGTATATGACTGTGTAGGGGACGTATGATTGGTTGGATCAGTACGTGTGATTCAACCCGAGTATGCATGCAAAAGGATTTAAGCCTTATGTGTCATCGTCATGACAGAGAAATGAGGCCTGTAATGTAGGCTGAGTAAATTGAAATGAAATGGATAGTTATAAAACTCCTGGCGTGGGAGTTCAATGATCTGTACCGAAATGTAACTGGTTTTATAGAAAGGGACATGGATGAGGTCATGGCCTAATTAACACAGCGTTATGTATGATATGTAGCAGAAAGACCAAAGGCAGGGATACCCCAAAATGATTTAACATGATGTAAAGTGATGTATATCTATATGATATGTATGTATAGCAAAGACGTATCAACCCGAGAATTATTGCTTAAATGAACCTATCCTTGTATATGTTGTATAAATAACCCAGAAATGAGGCTTGTAACATAGGCTGAGTCCATTCGTATAAATGGATAAGTAATGCAGACCCCTGAAAGCGTGGGAGTCAAATGGTATACACAGAGAAGTGGACTTGATTTATGGACGTAATACAATACTGACAATTGTTAAAAGTAATCAACAATAATCTATTTAAGCAAGCAATACTTTAACCGAATGTTATATACACATGAAATGGTGAATATAATTCATGAAAGGATTATACGTGAACACACAGAACAGCCGAAAGCAAATGTGAGGGGAACACAGAAGTTAGAATAGTTTAACCGTATGATTTATGCGAACCAAAGCGTGTATGAGCGTATGTAAAATTTGCCGAACGGCAAAACAACCGAATGAACATTCGTTTAAATAACATGAATAGGATATGCGAAATGACTATTGAACGATTTAAAACATGTTCAGCCGAATGACCGTACGAATGAAAAGCCCGCGAATGGCTTGAAACATTCGTGTCATAACCAGGGAAAAGCCGTAAAGCGAGGACCCGTGCTGTACCGTACGCCGTGGGAACCAGTCCTGGCGTGACAGGAAGGTCTGACTTACGGTTTAGGAGTCCCTGGGACGCGATCTACGACGGAGAACGGAGTCAGAAGAAGCTGGACGGGCGGAAAGGCCTGAACAGGATTCCTGGACACAGCTTAACGTGGTGAAACCTCCTGGATACTGAAACCAAGATGGCGTCTGAGAGAACCCGGAAGTGGATCCTCATTCAACGCTGACCTCGAACGGTAAGGAGCCAGGCAAGGGGAGTGCCTTAAGTAGGCTAGGGGTAGAAAACCAGCACCTCCCACAAATGCAGGCAAATTGCCTTAATACATATATATATAATTTTTTACAATTATTTTTATTTATATATAGGTATATACAGTGATATATACGTATTTAGATATATATATTATTTCGTTCTACATGTATTTTGATATCAGTATATATATATATATTAATTTTAAAATACTGTTAGAATAAATTTAAACATATTTATATATTTTATTTATTTTTATTATTTTTTAATTGAATTTTTTAACGTATTTACATATTTATTTTATATTATATATAAATATATAATTTAAATTCTATATATTT